CTTTGGCAAGCCTGGGTCTTACACACCTGACCCATGCACGCACTCTTACACATGCAGGGTCGCGTGGTGAGCAGGCGTACCTGAGAGCCCAGGCTGGGACATGCATCCCAGGCACAAGGACACACCAGCCTGGCTACGGGGATGCAGTGGCCTCCCAGGCTGGCGCTCACTGCCCCCACCCCAGGACCGCTGCCGCCTGGCTGCCAGCCAGTCCCTCCCTGGGCGCAGGTGCAGGCCCAGCCGCCCTTCGTCTGCTCCAGCAGACATGACCTCGGAGGCTGCTCTTGAAGCTTCGTGACCAAAGCCTGTGGCACCGAAGGCATCTTGGGAGCAGGGGTCTTGTGAGATACTCCCTGCTCCAGCCACCCCTTCCCCAGGAGCTGTGCCTGCAGCTGGGTGTGCACACGTGTGCCCACTGCGTGTGAGTGATGAGCAGGCTTCCTGGCTGAGGACTTGGAGGTCGAGGCTTCTGTCTTGCCTCCCTGCTGCTGCTCTGGCCCTGCTTCCCGACCATCTGGTGGGGTTGGGCCGTGATGTTTGCAGCCTCCCACCCTCGCCCCACCCAGCACAGCCTCACCCTCATTACAGAGGTGAGGCACAGAGGGGTGCAGCAGTGTGCCTGAAGTCGCACAGCAAGCTGACAGGCGGGAACAAGCTCTTTTTCCAGGGCCCCCGGCTGCCTTCCGAGAGCAGAGAACCCAGGCTTGGGCCCAGAGCCAAGAGTTCTGGAACTGCAGGGGCCGATGCAGACTGCCTTTCGTCAGCGCCCCATGGGCCCTGTGGCTGCCTGAAACCTTGGAGGTGCCCAGTGGAGGTCCAGGATTCTGCAGCGTGGAGGCTGGGCAGGGCCCGCCAGCAGGGGCACAGTCTTGTGCTTCCTTGGTGCGAAGCCCAGGGAGGTGAGGGGGCTCCCTGGCCTGTGGCCGCTCAAGTCTCTACTCACCGAGGTGTGTGCACGTGAGTGGCACATGCTCACATGTGGGCACCACATTGCTCTCCTGTGAGAACCATGTGCGTGCATGTATTCCCGCAGACAGCCATCTAGGGCATGCTAGTAACGTGTTTGCGAGCCATGCACGTGTGTGGAGCGAGGCGTGTCCATGTTTCTGCACAGGCAGCTATAGGCACGTGGAGGCTGGCCAGCTTCCGCACAGTGGTTGAGGGTAACTAGCAAGTAGACGTGTTCACACATGCCTGTGTCATGCAGGGTGGCTTCCCGTGACCGTGCACATGCGAATTGGGTCGCCTTCCCTGAGGCTCTGAGGGTGGGTGCTGCCTGCTCTGTCCTGCCATATGCCCTAGGCCGTTGACAGGGAGGCCTGCGGCAAAGCCGGCAGGTCAGGGCCTGGGGGCTGAGGCTGGCAGAGCAGAGCTGCCTGTCAGGAGCTGGGGGAGGGGACTGAGCCAGCCCGCACTGGAATCCCAGGGCCAGCGTGAACACGTGTGCTGAGCACTGACATGCCGTGGGAAGCGTGTGCGTGTGAGCACACACAGTATGGAAAGGTGAGCCTGTGAGCATGGCCTTGTATGCAAACGTGTGCGTGACTAGGATTACCATATGTACACATGTGCGGTTTTGTGTCTTTATATGTGGGTGCAGTGGGGAGCACATGCAAGCATGTCTGGACCTGTATTCACCCGTGTGCAAGGGCACGGACATCTAAGTTTGCTCTCCAACATGCAGATGTGCACATAAAGCTGATGTGGTCTGTGCACATCCGTCCACAGCGTGTGTGCAGTATGCATGTGTGTTGTACACACGTGTGTCTGCATGTGTGCCGTGTTCCAGGCAGCCAGGGCCTAGACCCTGCAGGGTGCACACACAGCTCAGCACAGAGGAGCACAGAGAGCCTGGCAGTGCCCAGGCTCTGGAAGAGGCCTACAGACCAGCTGCGAGCACGAACACATCCTGTGTTGGTAGCCCGTCTCCCCACTGGCGGCAGAAGCAGGCGGCAGCCTGGCTCAGGGCTGCCCCCGAGGCAGGACCCGGGAGAGGGACGGGCAGAGGCTGGCCTGGGCAGCCCCAACTGGAAGATGGCTCTCAGCCCCCGCCCCACAGGTCCAGTCAGGGAGCCCCTGCCCAGCTAACCCCCACCCCTGTCACTGGGCGGGATCTGGCGTGGGGTGGCTAGCTGGCAGAGAGACTGGGAGGCCCAGCCACCTCGTGCACATGTGCTTGCAGAGCTGAGCAGCCCTGGGCTGAGCACTGCAGGGGCCAGAGGCTGAGGGACAGGAGCTCCAGTCAGGGGGACATGGCGGCCTGGGGGCCTCAGGGCCCAACTCCAGAGTCTCAGAAGAGACAGGACCTTGTATACAGGAGCCTGTAGTTTGGGGGGACAGACGTGTCCCTTCCCTCACTCTTGGTTGGAGGGGCCCCCATAAATGGCTACTCAGGGGCGGGGCACGGCCGACCTCTGGTGACGTGTGGATGGGGGCGCAGGGAGAGCCCAAGCCACGTCTGCAGGTCCAGAGGAGGGAACCCAGCCAGAATGTGGGCTCGAGATGCTTCGGCCCCAGGCCCCACTCAGCACGTGGACACAAGGCAGCCGCTGCAGAGGCGGTGGCAGAGCCAGAGGGGAAGCGGCCTGGGCCCCACTGGGAGGCCTGCACCTGCCCCCCCGAACCTCGGTGGGCTCTCTCTCCAAGGTCTGGGCGAGACCTGGAGAGCCTCCTTCTCTGCGGCCGGGGCCCGGCTTCCTGTCCGTCTCCCTGCGTGCTTCACCTGAAGACCTCGTTCCATTGAAGGAAATCACTCGGAGTCAGGTGGACTGGCTCCAGTCTCAGCTCAACCCCTTACTAGCCTCATGACTGGGCAGAGGCCACCTTTTAGGGAGGACAGCCCCGAGCCACATCCCTCTAAAATTACTCCCTTTCTGCCTTCACTTTTCTCAACATCCATGTCTCACGTTACGCTTTTGGGAAGCTCGGCTCGCCGTTCCCCAGCTGTCCCCCAGGCAGCCCAGGAAAACAGCGAGCAGAGGCCCACTGGAGTCCCCCTCAGCCTGGCAGTGCGTGAGGGGACGGCACAAGGCCTGCTCTGGGGAGGGGCTGAGTGGGAAGTCTTTTCTCAGGGACCTTTCAGGAACAGGGCGCAGACCCGTGGGACCCCCAGCCTCACCCTGGGTTTCTGCATGCCTGCCCTTGGCTTCTTGGCCACCCCTGGGGGAGGGGTCTTCAATGCCAGGCAGACGAGAGCCCTGGCTGGCAGATGGAGCAGCCCGTGCCTGCCGGGCGCAGCTGGGAGTCTGGGCCCGATCTCCCGCCAGGCACCCGCAGGCCTGGGAGGACAGAGTACACCACAAACCTGCCGGCCTGCCTGACAGACATGTGCTGGGGTCCTCCTCCCCTCCGAAACACCCAGACTCGGGTCACCCGCACACACATACCCGGGAGCATGCCTGCAGTCGTCTCCCCATGAACAGGAAAGAGGCCCTTTCACTCCAGAACACCCAGGCCTCGTCCCACCACCTCTCGGATGTGAGTCTGGCCCTGAGAATGAACCAGGGTGGAGGGCGTCCTGACCCTGGCGTGGGAAGGGAACGGAGGCTGGTGCCCACTGGACACCACAGACTGGGAACACAAGTTCCTGGCTTGAATCCGGCCTCACCCTCTTCTGTGTGGCCCATCTGGGCTAGCCCGGGGCCTCCTCCCAGCTTTGTCTAAAACAGAGCAGACTGCCAGGCACCAGTCAGGCTGGGGGCACAGGTACGGACAGCGCCCTGCCCACACGGGCACCCCAACTGGGGCTGTTATTAGGGAAACTGATGCTGGGAACAGCCTTCCTGCCCAAGCCCCAGGCTGGCCGGTGTGTGGGGTGTGTCTCCAGCCCCTCAAGGACCCAGCACCCTGGTTCCTGTTCCCAGAGGTGGTCTCTGCCAGGCAGTGCTCAGGTCTGACATTCTGGGGCCCCCAGCTCCCCGCAGCCTCTCAACAAGCCCCAGGCCTGGCCTGAGCCCCTCATTGTGGGCTGTGCTCATGACAGCCCCCACTGCACCTGCTCACGCTCACACGTGCGCACACACACGAAAACACATTTATCACAAAATCATTTTTATTGCATTGGACTGGGACAGGACCAGGGAGTGCACTGGGGCCACACCCGGTTGGCAGAGGGGTGGGCTGCTGGCTTGCGCCCGACACCTCCAGGGCACCGCAGGTGAGGTCTGGCCCAGGCCATGGCTGTGGCTCTGGCTGGCTGGCTGGGGTAGGTAGGGGTGGGGTCGCTGCATCTGCCCGGCTGCCTGGCTGGGCTGCAGTTCCCCCAAATGGCCACCAGAGGACAGCCGGCCCCAGGCAGAGGAGTTCTTGGTTGCTCAGGTGATGGCTTCTTTAAAAAAATAAAAACCAGAGGCTGGTGAGTCCCCGGGAGGCCAGAGGGGCAGGCCTGGGGAGGAGGCTCTGGTTTCTGTGGTCTCTTTAATAAAAAATAAGCAAAAATAATAACAAAATACGTGATTTCTCTTTCTCCCTTCCCCCCCTCCAGGAACTGAGGTCAGAAATGGGGGTGTGGGGACTAGGGGTACCCTGGTATGGCCTACAGTTCAAGGTGCAGGCCTCTTCCCCTTAACACCCATAAATAAATGTATAAATAAATAAATAAATACATAAATCGTAGATAGATACTCTCTGTAAGTGCACACGTCCGTAGCTAAGTCTCCCATCTAGGGACTCTTTAGGTCGGAATTTCAAAAGTGACATGGCCAAGGTCAAGCTGGGGAGGAGAAGGTCAGAAATGGAATGGAAAGACTGCCAGCACTCGGATCGGAGCCAGCTGGCCAGGGGACGTGTCTGAAGGACCCCTGTCCACCTGAACCTTTTGGAACCATGGAGCTGGCCGGGCCACGGGGATCCAAACAGAACCCCGAGACACCCAACGTCCTAGGACCCCAGAACCAGCTGGGTCTGGGGCGTAGAGTGACCGCGGGAAGGAACCCCGGGCACCTGGGGTTGAGTGCTCGGGCCTTGCCTAGACGTCGCTGGGGGAGCGGGACCGGAAGGGGGCCTTGGAGGAGCAGCAGCAGGCGGCCCACAGCACCTTCTGCACATCGGGGTTGCGGAAGGCATAGATGACGGGGTTGATCATGGAGTTGTAGGTGGCGGGCAGCAGGGTGAGATAGGTGTACAGGGGCGGGGAGTCCGCGTCCCCTAGCAGGCAGTAGACGCTGAAGGGCAGCCAGCAGGCGGCCAAGGCGCCCAGCACCACAGCCAGCGTGGCCACACCCTTGCGCGTAGCCACGTAGTGGGAGGCTGGCAGCAGGTGCCGCTGCAGGGCGATTTGCTGGGCATGGCGGCACACAATGCGGCAGATCTGGGCGTACAGCTGCAGCATGATGCCGAACACCATGAAGAAGGCCACGGCCAGGACCACCAGGTGGTTCTTGGAGAGGGGGTAGACGACGCCGCATGTGGTCAGGCCATCGCGGCAGTTCCAGGCCAGCACAGGCAGCAGCCCCAGCCCCAGGGCCGCCGCCCACACCAGCGCCAGCATGGCGTAGGTCCGCGTGGCCGTGGTCTCAGAGTAGTAGGTGAGGGCGTTGTACAGGGAAAGGTAGCGGTCGACGGTGATGGCCAGCAGGCTGCCCACGCTGGCAGAGAAGGCCGTGGCCAGCAAGCCGACCAGCACCAGGCTCATCTCGGCGGACCCGATGCAGAAGACGGCGGCGAAGTGCAGGACCAGGCCCAGGCCCGCCAGGAGGTCGGCCACGGCCAGGCTGCCCACCAGCAGGAACATGGGGGCGCGGAAGGCAGGCGTGCCCGCGATGAGGGCCACCACCAGCGCGTTCTCGCAGGACACGAGGGTGCCGGAGATGCACAGCACCACGTCCCAGGCCCGGGGAGAGGGCAGCGGCTCGGCGGGACCCGTGGGCCCCTCGGGGTGGCCGGTACTGCTCGCGTTCACGCTTCCGGGGCCGGCGGAGAGCCACGCGAAGGGGCCGCCTGCGCCCCCCCTCGCGGCCCCCCGCGCGGA